ATATCATTGTGGGAAAATTCTACTTCCAGTCCTTCATCACCTTACACGAAATAGGGTGAATACATCTCATAACAAAATTTAAGCCAACAAGTCAACAATTTGAAATATAACTTGAACTAACCAAAACACTTTATTGTAGATATGAAGAGCAAGATGTTGTTGCCTCTGGTATGGTCGCAGTCTCCTTTCGATTTATAGAAGTGGGTTGACCTCGTTGTCAAGGCGACTATTTAGAACGCACCCAGTCCGAAGTCGTCTGCCATAGCAGTCCCATATCAAGTCCACTGTCAGATGCTGGGAATCATGACAACTGACATGGCAGACGACTTCGGACTGGGTGCGTTCTACATAGTCGCCTTGACAACAAGACCAAGTTGCGACAATGAGGTCAACCCACTTCTACAAATCACTTTATGCCTCAACAAAGAACCAATCTATCGAAGGTAAATATAGCATGTGGGGAGGAGCTGGTGAGTTTTGCTGACTCTGCTTGAATTTGGTTGCAAGGATGATACCCTCTCTCTCTCTCTGTTCCGATCATGTTCGGTCGTCGTCTTCCGGTGGAATCGACCTTGGAAGCTTTTCACAAGACACTTTCACAACAATCGCGAAAGAGGACAGTCTTGGAAACCCAAATTTTATGCTTTCTTCAGTTCACTGTGTATAGCATATTCTGGAATGAGTTCCAGCTCTGCGGACGTCTATCGAACAATGACCGACGAAACTGGGGCGAGTGTATTTCATGAAGGTGGAAGATTGAAGTCGAAGAAAGGCTGCAGTACACACACACACACACAAACACACACACCAAATGCAAGTGTGGCAAAAAGCCAGTCCCCCCCCCGGCCAACACATACATTAAGTCGCCAGACTGGGCTGGGCCCGTTCCAGCCGGTTGCCAGGCGGGATTGGCCACCGCCGGGCTTGGCTGCAGTGGTTGCGGCAGAAGGTGGACTTGCGGTGTCTGTGCGAGGGTGACGGCCGAGTTCCTGCGACTGAACAGACTGAAGCGTGACTTGGCCATCGAAGAGATGTCGTTGGGCAGCGAGTAGCTGCCGTCGTCAGGGCCACGATAGACAGCGGCGCCGAGCAGGCCGATGAGGGGTTGTCGGTTCTTCGACCGCTTCTTCAGCGGATGCGTGTTCTGCCCGCCCGACCCGACGGCCAGTGAGTCTCCCGTCAACACGTCGCCCATTCCCGCGCCCCTCACCTCCACAATGTCCAAAAGACTGCTGGTGCTCAGGCTGGTGGGCCGGTTGTCTTTTCTAATCGGTCCTCCCCCGCCGCCAGCAGAAGCCGCCGACTGACCAACACGCGCCGTGATCGCGTTGACCAGCGACGACTTGCGTCTGGCCACCGCGGCCCCAGCAACCGAGGAGACATTCTGGCCGGACGAGGTGGACTTCTTCCAGCCCAGCGACCAAAGACCGGTCAGATTGGCCGGCAGCATGATTTGCCCGGTTTTGCCGGACGCCGCGGCCGAGGTGAACATCGTGTCGGCGGCCGGGGCCGACGGCCGTCGGTCCGAGTGGCCCCGTCTCGCCTGACCGACAGCCGCGGCGGCCGAGCCGTCGTCCGGCGGAGCGAAGCGGCCGTTCTGATTGGCCCAGTCCAGCGAGACGGCCTCCAGACGAGCCGCCAACGAGCTGGGCATGACTGGCACGCTGCACGGCTCGGGCGAGTCGGCGCTGCGCGACAGGCTCATCGGAGAAGTGGTCGGGCGTCAGACGCAATCATGCCGTTTCACGTGAACACGCCACGTCTTTGCGCAAGACGTGGGATCAATGAGGAGCGAACAACGACCGGTCGCCTGCACCGGCCTTCTGCAGTCGGCAGCTAGTTCGCCTCTGCCTGCTCGACGCTGATTGGTCGACCGGGGTGTGCAATCCACGAAACCTGTTGGGCCGGACAAGTGGTGCTGCCCAGCAGCCAATCAGCGCACCGACTGGCCTTGTCGGAAGATGATTGGACAAGGCTGATGGCCAATCGACAGCCCGCCATTGGACCGTTTCACCACACAACGCGAGGCTATGCATGATGGCTAGTCAGCTCGGTTTGCCTAACACGACGAGGGCGGCGTCAGGGCGCCGGTGATAATTGAGCTTACCTCAAGTCTACTCACAAAGTATTCAGTAATATGAACGTTTGTCTTGGTGATAATGCCTCGCAGTAAACACACACACACACACATTTGTTTCAACCGTCCTGTCTAGCCGGAGGGTGTATGGCCGAATTGCGACAGTACGCACTTGTCTCGAATGGCGTTGAGAGCCGGCGCTAGCATCCACTTTACAAGAAAAGTCATTTTGACAGGCAGGATTGAGTGAAATTAAATCCCGTTAAAAGACCTTCCACTCAAATGATTGTGACGACGAACAAGGTGTGGCCTTCTATCACCTCAGCGACCTACAAAAAGCCTATAGATAGTCTCGAAGCAATGATTAAAAAGAATACACCAATAATAACCACCTAGCTACAACAAAAACTTCCCATCTCTCAAACGACAAGAGGTGAATAACGCCAATATGCCATCGCCAGCAATTGGTATGTAGGGCTAGTGTGATCAGTCATTACGCTGGGAATTAATGCACTAATCAGTGCTTAAAAAACCACTTGATTGACTAGCCATTTACAGTGTGCAGTTCACTTTAAGAGTGTACAGGCACAAGTAAGTAACGTTGACAATCGTGATAATAATGCAACTATAACCATCCGTCAGCATAGATGAAGAGTATAATTGTGCTGTTGGGTGAAGATAATCGAAGGTCGGTTCCACCAGAAGACCAACTGTCGATTGGCTTTACTGCAAGATTCATGCTGACGCTGTTTCCGAGGCAATCTCCTTCGATTCCGGTGA